TTCATTATTATTATTATTATTATTATTATTATTATTATTATTATTATCATTATTATTATTATCATTATCATTATTATTATTATTGCTATTAATTTTATTATCATTATTAATTATTATATTATCATCATCATCATCATCATCACTAACAGTAATCGACACAGTAATGTTATTCTTATTACTGTTGATGTTGTAATTGTTACCAATACTATTTTTGTCATAATGATATGGGCAGTTATTCGTTCGTCTTGCAATTTTTTTAATTAATTTAGGGTATTATTAACTTTGTCATTATTATCATCAGTTTCATTATTATTAGTAGTAGTAGTAGTAGTAACATTATTATATTTATTATTATCATCATTATCGTCACTATTATTATTGATAAGTCATCAGCGGCAGCCTTGGTGCAACGGTAACGCGCGCGGCCGGTGACCATGAGGGTCAGTTACCAATGATCCACTGCGGGTAACGGTTTCCTCCTGGTTGGATCAGGAAAGAAGGTACCGTCCTAGCCTTTCGAAAGAAGGTACCGTCCTAGCCTTTGCTAGGGAGTTCGTGACGTAAAACCGGATAGTTAATTTATCTTGAATAATCACATACTGTGTGTAATTATAGTGTGCCCTTCCCCCCATAGGTGGCGGTAGTAGGCATGGCTCTTCCCTGGCTGGGGTTCCTGTTCGGCGGAGTGATGTCCGTTCTGTGCAAAAGGCAACTCACGGAGGTGGTCGCCGTCAGTATCGAAACGGGCATTCAGAACACCGGCCTTGCTATAGGAGTCATTAAGGTGAATGTCACGTGATATTTGGTATAAGTAGGTAGATTATATGCATTCATCCCGATCCGTTTTGAGAGGAGAATTATGCATAATGCGAAGAGAAATGAGGTAAACTAAACTAGATTATCATCAGACTCAACTTCTTTATTTCCCCCGCAGTTCGCCCTCCAGAAATTCTCTCCTTTGGGCGACATCACCGTCGTGGTGCCAGTTGCGGTGGCCACGCTCACCCCGATCCCGCTCCTGTTGGCGTACCTGTTCAAGCGACTGTACGAACGGCGCCGCAGGTCCAAGCTCGAGGGCATTGATGGGCCTTGTGAGAATCCCGATGATCCCACGGCGTCTCCCTCCTCCTCCAACCTGAAGATGACGCCGGCGAACTCACAGACGCCGCTTAGTAGAGACCTAAAGAAGTAGGGCCTCTGCCCATCAAAGACGCGCGGAGGGAGTGTGGTTGTTTGTCCTCTTGTTCCCTCATTGTGTTTTTATTTATGCCTTTTTTAAGGAAATAAAGATATATGTGATCGAGTATCCGTGAGGTATTCATAAGAATGTGTTAAAGTGCGTGTAAAGTATGTGTGAAAGTGTAGCATCATTTTAATTCATGGAGGTTATACTATATATACGAGAGATCACAAGAGACTGTCCACTTCATGTGACTGCAAGAGACTAGGTGGCTCATTTTAGCCTATGATTCAGTCAAGCCTTTATACTCCTGTAGTAGAAACGTTTATATATATGTGATACCAGTATATATGGATCTTATCCCATTTCATTTTGTATGTTCTGTATTTTATATATATTATAAAGAATATATAATCACTTAATATCAATGGATTTTTTTGCTCTGACATTTCCTGAGAAATCATTAACATTTTTTAAGGCACACACATACAACTGCTTTTTTATATCTAGCATTCAGTATGCTATCTAACTGATAGGACAGAAAGATTTTTTTAAAAACAAAAATACATCCTACTATGAACGTTCATAAAAGCAGCGACACTATGAATTTTGAAAGTGACGTAAGCATATGGTAAAAGGCATTTGACATAAAAATCTCTAAGACTATCTTATATAGCACACCAGCATCCACGATCAACAGGTGAAAAGTGCAATGGTTTGGAGAGTTCACTTGAATACACTGGTCTACAGGCATTGTTATTATCATACTTTTTAACGCTCTCGTTTTTGTTTCTTTTTTTCTTTTCCTTTTTTAGAGATATTGCAGTGAATTTCAATCTCTATTACTAATCTATAGGTCCTGCTAACTACACAAGACATTATAGTGACTTTTTCTTGTTCGTGTTAAAGCAATTATTGCTATTATCACTATCATTACTGTAATCAGTTACTATTATCACATGCAGTTATTATTACTAGCAGTGATAGTACTGCATTATCATTGTTGGTATTATTATTATTCCTGCCGTTTCATCATCATTATCATGGTCATTAATGTTGTTATTATCATTATTATCATTGGTTCAACTAGATTAACGCCTAATATTAATAATTGTAATAACAGTACTAGTCTCATTGTAATGATGATGGTGAGCAGCAACTTAGAGTAACTTTACTGTAATTGTGAAAGACTGAACAGATTCAAACTTTTCGTATTATTGAACATTATTGGATATGAATAACACTCATGGGTAATTTTCTTCCTTTCATAACCAACGCAGTTTTGAAACAGAATTCCTTTCCTCTTTTCTGCTTAGAAATCATATTGTGTAAAACGCTTCCTACTGATTGAGAACAGATTTTGTGACGGAAGTATATTAGTTGAAATGGTCGTTAACTTAAAACTATTTATTTACTAAAATAAGACGTTCATCATAACGTTCATATAAAATAATAACATTACTGAATAATAAGACGACATAATTATATAGGTCGTTCGTTTGGTCTTCCACTGGGGTAGTGGTGGAGAGGCATCGCGTCACCCCTTCGCCCATGCTCTGCTCCGCCTTGGGTAGCTGACGTTGCGTAATCTGGTTGAGGAACTTCAGAAGAGTCTCTGTTACTTGAATGGATTATGGAAGATTGCGACAAAGGACGGGAGAGGCTGTAAGTCGCTGGAGATGCAAAATTTCGCTCAGGGGAGAGGTTATCCCGTGAGTCTGGATTGCTTGGCGTCCTTCTGTGCCTGCGGCACGTCCACGCTAGTATCATGACTAGAAAGATGCAGCCACTCACTATAACACCCAGGATCACCTGCCTAGTACCAGCCTCTGCGATGGCAGACAGTCGCAGCTGGACGATTTCCTGGGCCATGCTAAGCGACATGCGAGTGAAATTGGTCAGTCGGGAGAGGTGGTCTTTTTCCTCTATGCTGATAAGGGTGTTTGATTTCTCTAGTGTTTCCGTTAGAGATCTAAGTTGTGTTTCATCGTTCATGAGAGCCAGAAACTCGGATGGACCTGCATCCTCTCTCACGGCATCTTGGAGATCAGTAGTAAGTGTCTGTAGGATGTGTGCCAGACCACGAATATGGTCGTCTGCTGAATCCACAGGACTTTCAGTGGTGTTCCACTCTCCTTGAGAGAATGACTCTTTCTTTGAGGGATAAAGAACTTTACTAGGGATCAATCTGTGTTGTTTGCGTTGCATGTTTAATGATTTGTGTGTAGAAAACGCATCATGTTGTAACATGCTTTTATCAACAATACTGGCAAATGGCACTCCCCTCACCGCTCGTCGAAAACGCATTTTTTCTTGGTTTCTGTTCCTTTTCTTTTTGGAAAATTTCTTTAAGATTGGAATTTGTAGCTTAGAATTTTGGGAACTGGCTGTATTTTCAGTTGCTACATCAGCTGCACTCGTTGACACACTGTGTTGCGTGGTAATCCCAGATGGTTCAGTTACGTAAGGCAAATGAGAATTCGTAAAATCAAGTGACTCTTCACCACTAGGCACAACCTCCTCGTCCAGAGTTCCATTGGGTATCCGAGAGGAGGAGGGCGTAGTAAATAGTCTGTCACCAGAAACATTCTTATCTTGAGTGCCATGGTAAAGTGCCGGGGAAGCGCTACCAATGAAAGATGGGGTCGTTGCTCCATAGTTACCAGAGGTCGTCGTGATATATTTACTGTGATTGGCGATGATCGGAAGAGATGTGAAGGAAGGATTATTTTCAAGAAAAGCCGAGGCTGTGGTTATGCTGTTGTCAGTCGTCGGTGTCTTGGCGATATTAGGAGAGGTTACAGTGGTCATGGCGGTCACATTGTGTCCAGAAGAAGTATTTGTGCTTGTATTGCCTTCAGGTAAGGTAGTTACAGCCGTGTCACTTTCAGGAGAGCTCACTGCGGCCAAGTTACCTGTAGGGAATGTCACAGTAGTCGAATTACCTTCAGGATAGGTCGTCAAGTTCGTGTTGCCTTCAGGAGAGGTCGTATTGCCTTCAAGGGAGGTCGTTGTGGTCATGTTACTTTCAGTGGAGGTCGTTGTGGTCATGTTGCCTTCAGGGGAGGTCGTCGTGGTCATGTTACCGGGGGAGATCGTATTGCCTTCAGGAGAGGTTGTCGTGGTCGTGTTGCCTTCAGGAGAACTCGTTGTGGTCATGTTGCTTTCAGGAGAGGTCGTATTGCCTTCAGGAGAGGTCGCTGTGGTCGTGTTTCCTTCAGGTGAGGTTGTTCTGGTCATGTTCCCTTCAGGAGAGGTCGCAGTGGTCATGCTGCCTTCAGGGGAGGTCGTATTACCTTCAAGAGAGATCGTTGTGGTCATGTTGCCTTCAGGAGAGGTCGTGGTGGTCATGTTGATTTCAGGGGAGGTCGTATTGCCATCAGGGGATGTTGTTGTCATCTTGCCTTCAGGAGTGGTCATCGTAGTCGTATTGCCCTTAGGAGAGGTAGTTGTGGTCATGTTGGCTTCTGGAATGGTCGTCATGGTCATGTTGGTTTCAGTAAAGGTCGTAGTGGTCATACTGCCTTCAGGAGAGATCGTTGTGTTACCTTCAGGGGAGGTCGTATTAACTTCAGGAGAGGTCGTGGTGGTCATGTTGCCTTCAGGAAAGGTCGTCGTGGTCATAGTGCCTTCAGGAGAGATCGTCGTGGTCATGTTGCCTTCAGGGAAGGTCGTCGTGGTTATGTTGCCTTCAGGAAAAGTCGTTGTTGTCATGTTGCCTTCAGGGGAGGTCGTGGTGGTCATGTTGCCTTCAGGGAAAGTCGTGGTGGTCATGTTGCCTTCAGGGGAGGTCATATTAACTTCAGGAGAGGTCGTCGTGGTCATGTTGCCTTCAGGGGAGGTCATATTAACTTCAGGAGAGGTCGTCGTGGTCATGTTGCCTTCAGGAAAGGTCGTCGTGGTCATGTTGCCTTCAGGGGAGGTCATATTAACTTCAGGAGAGGTCGTCGTGGTCATGGTGCCTTCAGGAAAGGTCGTCGTGGTCATGTTGCCTTCAGGAAAGGTCGTCGTGGTCATGTTGCCTTCAGGGGAGGTCGTCGTGGTCATGTTGCCTTCAGGAGAGGTCATATTAACTTCAGGAGAGGTCGTCGTGGTCATGTTGCCTTCAGGGGAGGTCGTCGTGGTCATGTTGCCTTCAGGAGAGGTCATATTAACTTCAGGAGAGGTCGTCGTGGTCATGTTGCCTTCAGGGGAGGTCATATTAACTTCAGGAAAGGTCGTCGTGGTCATGTTGCCTTCAGGAGAGGTCCTATTAACTTCAGGAGAGGTCGTCGTGGTCATGTTGCCTTCAGGGGAGGTCGTCGTGGTTATGTTGCCTTCAGGAGAGGTCATATTAACTTCAGGAGAGGTCGTCGTGGTCATGTTGCCTTCAGGAAAAGTCGTTGTTGTCATGTTGCCTTCAGGGGAGGTCGTTGTTGTCATGTTGCCTTCAGGGAAAGTCGTTGTTGTCATGTTGCCTTCAGGGGAGGTCGTTGTTGTCATGTTGCCTTCAGGGAAAGTCGTGGTGGTCATGTTGCCTTCAGGAGAGGTCGTTGTTGTCATGTTGCCTTCAGGGAAAGTCGTTGTTGTCATGTTGCCTTCAGGGAAAGTCGTTGTTGTCATGTTGCCTTCAGGGAAAGTCGTTGTTGTCATGTTGCCTTCAGGGGAGGTCCTGGTGGTCATGTTGCCTTCAGGAAAAGTCGTTGTTGTCATGTTGCCTTCAGGGGAGGTCGTGGTGGTCATGTTGCCTTCAGGGGAGGTCGTGGTGGTCATGTTGCCTTCAGGGGAGGTCATATTAACTTCAGGAGAGGTCGTCGTGGTTATGTTGCCTTCAGGAAAAGTCGTTGTTGTCATGTTGCCTTCAGGGGAGGTCGTGGTGGTCATGTTGCCTTCAGGGGAGGTCATATTAACTTCAGGAGAGGTCGTCATGGTCATGTTGCCTTCAGGGGAGGTCATATTAACCGCAGGAGAGGTCGTCGTGGTCATGTTGCCTTCAGGAAAGGTCGCCGTGGTCATGTTGCCTTCAGGGGAGGTCATATTAACTTCAGGAGAGGTCGTAGTGGTCATATTGCCTTCAGGAAAAGTCGTTGTTGTCATGTTACCTTCAGGGGAGGTCATATTAACTTCAGGAGAGGTCGTAGTGGTCATGGTGCCTTCAGGAAAGGTCGTCGTGGTCATGTTGCCTTCAGGAGAGGTCATATTAACTTCAGGAGAGGTCGCCGTGGTCATGTTGCCTTCAGGAAAGGTCGTCGTGGTCATGTTGCCTTCAGGGGAGGTCATATTAACTTCAGGAGAGGTCGCCGTGGTCATGTTGCCTTCAGGAGAGGTCGTAGTGGTCATGTTGCCTTCAGGGGAGGTCATATTAACTTCAGGAGAGGTCGTAGTGGTCATGTTGCCTTCAGGAAAGGTCGTCGTGGTCATGTTGCCTTCAGGGGAGGTCATATTAACTTCAGGAGAGGTCGTAGTGGTCATGTTGACTTCAGGAAAGGTCGTAGTAGTCATGTTACTTTCTGGAAAGGTCGTTGTTGTCGTGTTACTTTCAGGATAGATAGGTGTAGTCATATTACCTTCAGGAGAGGTCATATTGCCTTGAGCAGAGGTCGTAGTGGTGACATTCAATTCAGGAGAAAATGTGATGGTCACGTTACTATTAGGAAAGGTAGTGGAAGGTGTGTTTAAACCAGGAGAGGTCGTGGTTGCAGTGGTCGTACTATTTCCGGGAGGGATCAGAGGAGTGTAACCATCTGGAGAAGTAGTGGTGACTAGACCACCAGGTATAGTCGTGAGAGAGCCAAGGGATGTCGTACTCGGACCTGTGGTCGCACTAATAGTAGGCAGGCCTTTCAGGACGACGACTAGACGGTTCAGGTCGTTCGAGATCTTGTCAAGAAAATCTAGGATGCCCTCTTTGTCTAGGTAGCCCATGTCTGAGAAGGGAAAGATTTATTAAACATTTTCATGAATATTTCTCTGTTTTTCAGAGAGAAAGAGAGAGAGAGAGAGAGAGAGAGAGAGAGAGAGAGAGAGAGAGAGAGAGAGAGAGAGAGAGAGAGAGAGAGAATGTATGTACACACACACACACACGCACACACACACACTCACACATACACACACATACACATTTTTTCTCTCTCTCTCTTCCTCTCTCTCTCTCTCTCTCTCTCTCTCTCTCTCTCTCTCTCTCTCTCTCTCTCTCTCTCTCTCTCTCTCTCTCTCTCTCTCTCTCTCTCTCTCCACATATCTATTTGTGTAAGTGATGATATAACGTTTACAGAGCAGAGCCCGCACTGATCAAACTACAAATAACACTCGTGCTTTTCCAACACAGTATCCATGACTCT